GCTTCATCTGCATATTTTTAGCAACATCTGGTTTAATGGATGAGTTATTTCTCCGTGTAAACTACAAAGTCAAAGCTGTAGACGCAAACCTCTCCAGAGAGGCGTGGAGCTGCAGTGCATCTTCCCTGAGGCACAGAAGCCAGTAGCTAGGGAACGGTGAGAAAGCTTAGCAAGTATTGATTCAGACATTAGTCAGGTTTAAATTAATCTGTTCACCTTCAGGAGGAGTTACGCTTTGCTCGATACTTCAGATAGCATCTTACCGTATGTATATGTAAAAAGTAAGCACTGAAAGGAAGAGAGATTTTTCTTTGAATCAGAATACACTGATTGATAGTGAAATTATATCTTATGATTTCACTGGTTTCTATGGTTTGTGCTAATGTAACTATTTTGAATGTCTATGGGTGGATTAGAGAGGCTGCTTGATGGACAAGATAGAGGCGGTTTCCAAAGTTCTCGTTTGTTACACGTCTGACTACCACTAAATTATTAAAAGGTTAATCTGGTACTTTGCTAAATTCTGTCCTTTAAGTAATTCAAGGATAGTTAGGGGTCTGTTCAGACAACTAAATATCTTTAGGAGAAAAAGAGGAGCTTGAAGTTGTGAGAACCAAACCAAATGTCAAGGTCCAGATTCTTCCACAGGACAAGTAATTGCTTGTGGGTAAATAATCTTAGTCGTTCCCAAGCATCTTCCACAAAAATCTTACTCAGTCCAAACAGCAACTACTCTGTGTCTGTTTGGTTATCTGTCCTTTCCATGACCAGACTTCAGGTGAAAAGATGAGTCAGTAGGCCTGGCATAAATGTCTATTTTTCAGTTTGATTGACATCATATAAAAGCATTCTACACAGGAGACTTTAAAAATATTTTTAAAGCAGGTTGTTTTTTTTAAAATCCAATATATGTGTGTTACACTAGAGACTAAATTGGTAATTGTAGATTATCATCATCTTGATAACCCAGACATAAAAGTATGGCATAGGAGCCATCCTTAAGTAGTTTTACTCTTGCTAGAACAAAGAAATAGGGGATTAGTGAAACTGAATTAGGTCTAAAATCTTTCTGTACCACCAGCAACTGATGTTAAAGTTTATCTTGAAGCAGAAAGTGTATTTTTAAAATAAGTCTGTTCTAACAAGCGTTTTAAGGAGATGAATGATCACATTAGTGATTTCCTTTAGAAGTAATTCATTTCCTTAGCCTGAGTTGATTTGAATTTTGACCTTTTAAGACTTTTGACCTAAATCCATTTAAGATGCTTCTGAAGGGCTTAAAAGACAATGAGAAGTCAGCAGCTTTCATATTAAAAACATATGAACTGTTCAGGATGAAACATTTAATTCCCAGAAAAGCCATATGTTTAGAGCTACGCAGTCCTCACTCTACAGCAAAGCGAAAATTAATGGAAATTTGAGGAGAAAATCATCTGGGTCTCTGTCTTGTGCTGTGCTTGCTTGCCTGTGCTATGGACTCTCTTGCCATTTCCCTATCTGTTGTTTTCAGTGTTGGGCTTTAGCATTATCCTACAGCCAAATTGCCTCAAGTATTAGGAAAATTAATTATCAAGGAAATGGTCTTACTCTGTTTCATCCTCTTGTTATTAGCAATAACATTTTAGTCCACCGATGCCAGCTTTTCTTCTCTTACCTTCTTTTATGTGCAGTATGAAGGTAATTTAAGGAGGTGGGGAGCAAAGCTTTAGATCTTCTGACCTACAGACCATATCTGATAAGGGATGGACTCTGTGATATGAAAGCAAGCATATAATGCCTGTAATTTAGAAATCTACTGCTATTCTGGTTTATTTCCAATCTGTCGAATAGTTCACGTCAATTGTTGGAAAGTCAGGTTTTCACTGATTGGAACAGATGTGCATCTTCAATTATCTGTGGAAAATCAATAATGAAAGAAATTCACGGTAAAGATTTTCAGTGTAGCTCTATCATGTTTTCGCTTTGGCAGTAATTTCAGAGGAAATGATATGGTGTGTCTTCAGTGTTTACACTGACATGACGATTGCCCAGCATATTGGTATTTACAAACTGTGCACTGGTACCTGTCTGCATCGTTTCACTTCCGAGTGGTTTACAGGGCATTCCCCGCTGTGTGTTTCAGCTTGTGAAGCGATGAGTAGCTGCTCTTCTGCTTTCATCACAGACGCTCTCTTCATGCAGGACAAAATTCAGAATTTTATCGGATAGTACATTATACAGTAATTATTAACATATTCTTCAGCAAAATAATAGATCTTGTAGAAATAGTAGTATAGCAGTAGAAATTAGGACAGTAACAGAGCTTGAACAAATCCCCAGCCTTGAAGGAGCATTCTGTTTGAACGTACCCAGCACTGCAAGATGCCAGCAAACACAGATACCTTTGCTTTTACTCTCTGTACCACACTGGTTTACTACTGAAGGATAAGCAAAGCACTGTTTATGCCTGCAGGGCTTCCGTTAAATCTAGGCTCAAGTGCTGTTTTTCCTGTTTCAATGCACTGAACGTGCTTTCTTGCAACAGAACTTCCTCTCGGTTACGGGCAAACAGCGGAGAATAGACGAGTGCGTTTTTCCAGGTTGTGTGGGGTTAACTTCTCTCTCTTAAGCATGTTGAAATTTTGGATTTCCAGCTGTCCTGAAATTGAGTTTGGCACTTCACGGTGATGTCCTGCTTTAAATGTTGTTCCATTGGTACATCCATGCCAGCATAAGGAAGATTTCTGCCCCAGGACTGGTTGCGGGTTGGTCACCACCATCTGTCATTGCAGGCGGGGTGGCTGCAGGGGCTGTAGCAGGAGCAGCAATGATTGCAGCGCTGGTCGCGGAGGCTGCAGTAGCTGCGGTGGGGGAGGAGGTTGTTGCCTCGGCATACCTTAAAAAAGCTAAAGTGATTCCACAGCACTTATGCCTGCACCAAGGCTTAATCTTACACCACACCTGAAAAACTTGCAGGGAAGCCAAAAAAATGAAACATGGTTTGATAGTCCCAAGAATATCTGAAATTCCCAAACTCTGGCAAAGTCATGTTGGCATAACAACAAAACGTACAATTTCTCAAGTTAAAAGTATAATTACTAACAAAGTCCACAGGGTAACTCTCAAAGTACTCGAATGAAGTTGTTGGCAACTAGTTCGGGTTTTGCACTTTTTGTTTTCATCTCTTGATAAACATAAGAGATTGGAACGATAATGACCGGTCTTACCACGGTATAGTTCAGTAATAATCACAACAGACTGTGCTAAAAAGATTGTCCCCATCTTTCCTATAGGTCCCCTTTAAGTACTGAAAGGCTGCAGTAAGGTCTCCCCAGAGCCTTCTCTTCTCCAGGCTGAACAGCCCCAACTCTCTCAGCCTTTCCTCACAGCAGAGGTGTTCCAGCCCTCTGACCATGTTTGTGGCCTCCTCTGGACCTGCTTCAACAGCTCCGTGTCCTTCTTGGGCTGAGGGCTCCAGAGCTGGCTGCAGGACCCCAGATGGGGTCTCACCAGAGCGGAGCAGAGGGGCAGAATCCCCTCCCTCGCCCTCCCCTCGCCCCGCTGGCCATGCTGCTTTTGATGCAGCCCAGGGTACGGTTGGCCTTCTGGGCTGCGAGTGCACACTGACAGCTCATGTCCAGCTTTTCATCTACCAGCACCCCCCAGTCCTTCTCGTCAGGGCTGCTCTCAGTCCCTTCATCCCCCAGCCTGTATTGATACCGGGGGTTGCCCTGACCCAGATGCAGGACCTTGCACTTGGACTTGTTGAACCTCATGGTCAATATCGGGTCACTAGTTCTGTCCACCCCTCCCCACAAGTACGACCCTTTATGACTCCTCACTTGCAGGATCTAAGAGGTCTATCAACAACCTTGGCCGCTATAGTAATAATTATAAACAGGGGCCTTTTTCTGCCTTCCAGTCCTGCCGTTAGCTCAGTAAAACTATAAACATCAAGTGTTCACAGCTTTGGAGTGGACGCTGTCTGTAAAACATGTAGCCAACTTCAGAAAAATTCAGTTACTTAGAAGAACTTAGCTGTAAGGACAAATCACTAAAAGACAATTGGTTCTGTTTTAACCAAAACCTGGACACAAGTACATAACATTGTTTGCGTATGAAAGGGTGGTGTCTGCTGAAGTCTTCTCTCCCAAAAGTACACGGTTTTTCAACTGTAGCAAGTGATGTGGTTGCAGCTGTAAAAATTCTGTAGTTACAGTTATGACTTGCTGTCCCTTTAAACAGGTGCTAATTTTCAAAAATAAGATGTATAACAGAAAAATAAGTTGCCAGTATTCCTTTAAAATAAATTGTTGACAGTCAGATGAAAATACCTGGCTTTCTGCCTATTCCTAGAAATGTGTGATTGCCACATAGTCTTTGGAATAGAGTCACTTTTTCTTTCAGTAGCACAGGCACAGTTTACCTCTGGTCTGATTCTTATTTTTACTCTCTAATTAGCATTGCTGCTGCCTTCTAAATTATTTCACTGTGTAGAAAATATAATATATGCCTCTCTTCTTTATAACTTCACTTGACTTTGGCACACTCCTTAGGCATTACTGATTACACCCAAAGTGTGCAGCATATAGTTAGCTCGTCAGTGATGTAAGGACAAACTTCCACATGACCTTAAATCCTTGCGTGCAGCATCTGTAGCTCGAAATCCTGCTGCTGCAGCTCTTCTTGCACTCTGTGATGTTCATGTGAATGGTCGTCTTGGCTTTGGTACGACTGCTTGCCTAGTGAAGACTGGTCATTTGGAGGACATCTGTAGATACAAGGCAAATGTTTAAATTCAGGAATGTTCTGCTGGTTACTCTTCCTAAGAGCAGGCTTGGGAAAAAGCACATTTCTTAATGTAGGACTTGGCTCAATGATCTTGATAAATTAACAGGGATGAAGTTTTTTCATCTGAATTGTACATTTGTCAGCTTTTCGTAAGACATCACGTGACACGTTTTTATTGAAATGTCACCCATTAAAATTCTTTAATATGAAGTTTTTCTGTTATTTTTCAGATGTTCAAATGAAACAGCATTCAGAAAGGAAGGTTTGTTCTGGGCATACAATTTCTGCCCCACTCCATACTCTTGGACAGCACTTCTGGGCCTTATTTTATACTTGGTTTTCTTTGCACCTGGTAAGCAAATGTGTATTTAAATGTAAGTTAAAAAATTGTAAAGGTATAAAATGTCGAATAGTGAGGCTATGCATTAAATTTACTTTTGAGTCCAGCCGTTAAACTGAGATTGATCGTGGTTTTTTTTTTTAATTCTTAGGAATGGGTCCTATGCCCTGGACCGTCAATTCTGAAATTTACCCACTTTGGGCTAGAAGTACAGGAAATGCCTGTTCCTCTGGAGTCAACTGGGTTTTCAATGTGCTCGTGTCGCTGACATTTCTGCATACGGCCGAATATCTGACGTACTATGGTAAGAAACCGCATGCATCTGTGTACGCGGTACTACTGCTGGTGCATAGATTTTTCTGCTGGTCCTGGGTTGCTTAGTTGTTTTTGCTATGGAATGTCAAGAGTCAATGCAGTGTGCTCAACTTACTGTGGTTTAGTAAAACTAGAGACCTGATAGGGCCTGTCTGGATCACAGAGTTTGGTCCAGCTTTCATAAGAAACATTTCTTGCTGTCCTTAACTGAGAACCTAGACAGTTGGTTAAAACAAGGAATCTGGAAAAAAAATGCTTTTGGCTTAGTGAAATATGCCGATTCCCACTTAAGGAGACAGCATCGGCAATAGTCCAGTTTATGGTGGCATCCAAGGCCACTATCAGATGGTCCTTGCAGAAACACCTGTGTAAGGTGCTACTGCCTGACTCCCAGCTGCTGGTGGAGTCCTGTCTGCTGGAGCCTGCGGAGAGCCTGGCGCGTTGCTGCTCAGCCACTCCAGTACAAGCCATTTAAACCAGATGAAGCTGCCACGGAGCTGATGTGGCCTTCCCATCGTCACTAGTACAGAGCCTTCCAGCTCTGCTTGTCATCCCTGCGCGTCATCAGTCTAGCAGTGCAGGGCAGGTAAAAGTTTGTTGCTCCTGTGGTACCTTCTCTGCCCCCCTAGGTAAGGTGGGCAGATGCAGGACCTTGCACTTGGACTTGTTGAACCTCATGGTCAATATCGGGTCACTAGTTCTGTCCACCCCTCCCCACAAGTACGACCCTTTATGACTCCTCACTTGCAGGATCTAAGAGGTCTATCAACAACCTTGGCCGCTATAGTAATAATTATAAACAGGGGCCTTTTTCTGCCTTCCAGTCCTGCCGTTAGCTCAGTAAAACTATAAACATCAAGTGTTCACAGCTTTGGAGTGGACGCTGTCTGTAAAACATGTAGCCAACTTCAGAAAAATTCAGTTACTTAGAAGAACTTAGCTGTAAGGACAAATCACTAAAAGACAATTGGTTCTGTTTTAACCAAAACCTGGACACAAGTACATAACATTGTTTGCGTATGAAAGGGTGGTGTCTGCTGAAGTCTTCTCTCCCAAAAGTACACGGTTTTTCAACTGTAGCAAGTGATGTGGTTGCAGCTGTAAAAATTCTGTAGTTACAGTTATGACTTGCTGTCCCTTTAAACAGGTGCTAATTTTCAAAAATAAGATGTATAACAGAAAAATAAGTTGCCAGTATTCCTTTAAAATAAATTGTTGACAGTCAGATGAAAATACCTGGCTTTCTGCCTATTCCTAGAAATGTGTGATTGCCACATAGTCTTTGGAATAGAGTCACTTTTTCTTTCAGTAGCACAGGCACAGTTTACCTCTGGTCTGATTCTTATTTTTACTCTCTAATTAGCATTGCTGCTGCCTTCTAAATTATTTCACTGTGTAGAAAATATAATATATGCCTCTCTTCTTTATAACTTCACTTGACTTTGGCACACTCCTTAGGCATTACTGATTACACCCAAAGTGTGCAGCATATAGTTAGCTCGTCAGTGATGTAAGGACAAACTTCCACATGACCTTAAATCCTTGCGTGCAGCATCTGTAGCTCGAAATCCTGCTGCTGCAGCTCTTCTTGCACTCTGTGATGTTCATGTGAATGGTCGTCTTGGCTTTGGTACGACTGCTTGCCTAGTGAAGACTGGTCATTTGGAGGACATCTGTAGATACAAGGCAAATGTTTAAATTCAGGAATGTTCTGCTGGTTACTCTTCCTAAGAGCAGGCTTGGGAAAAAGCACATTTCTTAATGTAGGACTTGGCTCAATGATCTTGATAAATTAACAGGGATGAAGTTTTTTCATCTGAATTGTACATTTGTCAGCTTTTCGTAAGACATCACGTGACACGTTTTTATTGAAATGTCACCCATTAAAATTCTTTAATATGAAGTTTTTCTGTTATTTTTCAGATGTTCAAATGAAACAGCATTCAGAAAGGAAGGTTTGTTCTGGGCATACAATTTCTGCCCCACTCCATACTCTTGGACAGCACTTCTGGGCCTTATTTTATACTTGGTTTTCTTTGCACCTGGTAAGCAAATGTGTATTTAAATGTAAGTTAAAAAATTGTAAAGGTATAAAATGTCGAATAGTGAGGCTATGCATTAAATTTACTTTTGAGTCCAGCCGTTAAACTGAGATTGATCGTGGTTTTTTTTTTTTAATTCTTAGGAATGGGTCCTATGCCCTGGACCGTCAATTCTGAAATTTACCCACTTTGGGCTAGAAGTACAGGAAATGCCTGTTCCTCTGGAGTCAACTGGGTTTTCAATGTGCTCGTGTCGCTGACATTTCTGCATACGGCCGAATATCTGACGTACTATGGTAAGAAACCGCATGCGTCTGTGTACGCGGTACTACTGCTGGTGCATAGATTTTTCTGCTGGTCCTGGGTTGCTTAGTTGTTTTTGCTATGGAATGTCAAGAGTCAATGCAGTGTGCTCAACTTACTGTGGTTTAGTAAAACTAGAGACCTGATAGGGCCTGTCTGGATCACAGTCTGTGTACGCGGTACTACTGCTGGTGCATAGATTTTTCTGCTGGTCCTGGGTTGCTTAGTTGTTTTTGCTATGGAATGTCAAGAGTCAATGCAGTGTGCTCAACTTACTGTGGTTTAGTAAAACTAGAGACCTGATAGGGCCTGTCTGGATCACAGAGTTTGGTCCAGCTTTCATAAGAAACATTTCTTGCTGTCCTTAACTGAGAACCTAGACAGTTGGTTAAAACAAGGAATCTGGAAAAAAAATGCTTTTGGCTTAGTGAAATATGCCGATTCCCACTTAAGGAGACAGCATCTGCAATAGTCCAGTTTATGGTGGCATCCAAGGCCACTATCAGATGGTCCTTGCAGAAACACCTGTGTAAGGTGCTACTGCCTGACTCCCAGCTGCTGGTGGAGTCCTGTCTGCTGGAGCCTGCGGAGAGCCTGGCGCGTTGCTGCTCAGCCACTCCAGTACAAGCCATTTAAACCAGATGAAGCTGCCACGGAGCTGATGTGGCCTTCCCATCGTCACTAGTACAGAGCCTTCCAGCTCTGCTTGTCATCCCTGCGCGTCATCAGTCTAGCAGTGCAGGGCAGGTAAAAGTTTGTTGCTCCTGTGGTACCTTCTCTGCCCCCCTAGGTAAGGTGGGTGGCGGGTGAGCAAGCTCTTGCTCACTGCTAACTGTCTCTGCAGAGGACTTTTAAATAATAGTTAGGTGTACAAGTGTTTAATCCTGGCTATTTCTTTTTTGCTAAAGTTTCTCATTCTGGGGGGGTGTCTTAGTGTGTCCTTCACTGTTAAGATAAACTGAGAAAGTTCTTGCCTTTCCCATCTGCTTTTTTTGCTGGGTGTGCAACCGTTTAACTGCTGTTTGTGTTAACAGTGGAATGACTTGGCCAAAAAAGGGGCGTGTTATCTTCCACCTGAAACAAAATGGCTTTTGTTAATTTACTCCATTGTGGAGCGATGCAATAAAGCAGCCTTCTCCTACACCCACCGCCCCGTAGCTCGCTGTGTTAACGATGCCACTCCAACCTTTGCTTTGACGCACTCCTTTGATATCGGCAGCCTGCTGCTTCTGCCGCTCCCTCTGCTCTGGAGCAGAGCTGGGACGGGAACTTCTGTAACCAACTGTGCGTGTTGTTTTACATTGCAGGAGCCTTCTTCCTCTACGCAGGGTTTGCTGGCTTGGGACTGGTTTTCATCTATGGCTGCCTTCCTGAGACTAAAGGGAAAAAACTGGAGGAAATTGAATCTTTGTTCGAAAGCAGGCTATGTACATGTGGTACGTCAGATTCGGATGAAGGGAGGTATATTGAGTATATTCGAGTGAAGGGGAGTAATTACCATCTTTCTGACAATGATGCTTCTGATGTGGAATAATTTTCAGCTGCTGATGTATTTAATCATTTAAAAACCTTCTGGGGGAAAAGCAGCTCTCTGATGACCTCACTGCCCTGCTTCTGGTCTGGTTCTCCTTTCTACTGTCTAGTTAAAAATGCCTTCATGTTCAAAAATGCTCCATTGGGGAGGAAATTCAATATGCTGCTGTTTTCTTGATAACTAAAAGCAATGGCTTCCAAAAGAGATTGAATTCCACAATTATGTGAATTCACCGAGTGCGTGCAAGACTGCACCGTCCCGAGGTGTTTAGTAGGTGCGCTGTACCAGATGAAGACAGAAGGCTATCCTAGATGGTCAAGGGTGGTCCTTATCTTCAATACTGACTAAAGGCAAAATAATAGAGTAGCTAATCAGAAAGCAGCCGACAGCTGTCGGATACCCATCCATAGCAGCCTAGCAAATAGCTCTGCTCTGCAATATAATGAATGACGAATGCATAAGCTGCTGTAGCGTTGGCTATTTAAAAGGTTGAACTGATTAGGAAAATACAAATATCTGCCATATCTACAGGGAACATTTCCCAAATTTACCCTAAGCGAATTTCCATTTTCGTTTATTTGAGATAACATGTAGAGAGCCATAGTCCCCTGGGTGGAGGTTTGCTGGGGTGGCGTGGGTCGGTGTTCTGGTGGGTTGTCTGGCCGCAGCCGCTCGTGAGTACAGATGGCAGTCGGGAGCCGGTGCTGGTGAGGGGCACTGCCAAAATTAACCACCTGCCAGCAGGATAGCAGAGCTGAGTATGTGGCCACACGTACAAAGGAACTGGTGTGTATCGCTAGGTACAATGTAGAGGCTCCAGTCAGTTGAGAAAAATTATTTTTGTTTTCCTTTTCCACACTTGAGCGTTTGGGCCCGTGCCTAGTCTTGAACACAAAATGTCATTAGCTAAAAGAAAGAAAAGGAGGGGAGAGGTTTTATGCTGCTAAATGCACGGTGGTCATCCCTCCTGCGCCTTTTGCTCGTGCATAATCATACTGCCTTCAGTTTATCTTCCTATGTGCAGAGTAAATGAATCTCAGCCCATTTCTCCTTCAAATGCCCTTAGTCAACCCGTGGCCTGCTGGATCTGAAGAGAAATGTTAGCAATGGGCAGAAGCCTACATCTCATCTTAATAGCCTTACCGAAGCATTGCGAAATTGTCAAGAAAATGTCAGGCACAAAAATCAGCTTGGCTGCTGTTAGCCTGGTAATGAAAATATGAATGGTATTTTATTCACCTGCCATGATTGCTTGCCTTGCCAAATTGAATTTTATGCAGCTACAGAAAAATATTACATTATTTTTTTTCCTTGCCCTGTCCTCACCGCTTTAAGTCTTCAGAGATACGAGTTTGAAAGCATCAACAATTCAAATTCTTATCTTTGAAACATTTGCTTCATGAAAGAACATGGAAAATCTCCTCTGCCTGTGGGCTGTCCCCCATTCATTTGGTAAAAATACATTTATTTTTCATTGTGTAAAGATTAAAGAAGTTGTTGGGTTCATTAGCTTTTATAGGTTTGCTTTGTGAGCTTTACTTGGGTTGAAAAATATTTTGAATGTAGGATTGCTATCAAAACTGAGACTGGACATTTGTTACTAAATTATTTTTATTCGATAACGTGGGGCTTTGTTGGTGTAAAGAAGTCTGACATTATGTTATCTCATCTTCTGGGGGGGGGGTTTACTCTCCAATTATTGAACTTCAACAATTGGGTGTATTTTGCATTATTTTCTTTTTTACCTTGTTAATCAAAGCAATATTTTTGGAAAGAAATCATTTTAAAGCATCCTTCTGTGACTTGACTGGGACTAAAAGGGGAAAGCATAGCGGACAGAGGGAATTTCAGACATTTGGTCATTACAACGAGTGGCCCGACCTTGAACATCTCCTTGCGCAGTGAGAGGGCTGGATTCTCATGCCTTCCCTCTTGCCTCCCTTTCAGCGTGCAATATTTTTATGCTTGAAAGCACCAGCTGTTGAAAACGCTGGGGTTTCCAGACCTATCTCCAAGGCACTCACTGCGGGATGTGTCCATTAGGCTGTCACGGCTTTGCAGGCTTCACCGAAGGTGTAGTACCTGAAATGAGAAACAGGGGTACTTGGCACAGATGAGAACACAATTGTTTTAAGGGCAAACTGTTTTTTTCCTGAACCCGAAAAATGGGTGTTTGGAGACCCTTGTTTGGAACAGTTTTGTCATCCAGAGCAGCATGTGAGTAGGTGTGTAACACCCAACCTGTGCTTGTGGTATCTGACGTAGAGATAGGTGAAAGTAGGTGTTTACTGGTTTTTCAGAATAGGGACTTACGGCTCTGATCCCCCCAAAAGCATAAGCCCACGCTCACTGTTACACCTACGAACGTCCCCTGGCTCGCCATGTTCTGCTGGAGGCAGGGTGGGCATCCCTGTGCCGGCACGGCGCCGGTGCTGACTTCGCGCTGCGTTGCGCTTGGGTGCACGGGTGGAGGAGCCGCTGCAGTTATCGGGCACAGCCAGGGCAGAGTCGCTGGGAAGGTCGCTGTCACGAGATCAGCCTCTGTTGTTTTGCAGGCAGCGCTGGGGCTTTTTAGCAGCAGAGGACCATCTCCCTCTGCCAGCCTTCTCTCACGGACGTGCTCACAAGTGGCACCCAGTTGCGTACGGCACCGGGCTCGTTTCCTTGCACAACCAGTTCGATCTTACTGAAAGGACTTTTCTGAAGGTTTGCATCCCGTGCCCTTTTTACTCGAGGCAAAACGATGGAAACACGTGCGTTTCATTCGTCATTGCTGCTGGCTGTGAGGGTGCAAAATACATCGGCGTCTTTATTCTCACTCCCTCTTTCCCACCCACACAGAGTTGGGCTGAAGTCTTCCTTTTAGGGTTGCTTTACAAAAGGATAACATTCCATACTGTAGAAACACTGAACCTAGTACCAAGCACCATGTGTAATAAAAATGAGACCAAATATTTGAAATTAGTCTTACGCAATTAGGGGTTTATTTTTAGAATCTGTGAACATTTATAATGTATGAAGAAAATTAAATCGATGTTTCCATTTTGCAAAGATTTTTTATATTTGTGCATATTTTAAGTTTTAAGATGTTTTTGCTAAGGGTAGACTTAGTAACCTTCCAGATAGAAGAATAAAAACACGGTGTAGCTGAATAATTCCTTATGACAGGTTTTTAATTTATGAAGTAGCATAAATAGTATGTCTAAGCACAATAGCGTTTTATTGAAAGCTTTCTGCAGCAGATGTGAAATCATTTCTTGACGAAGACTGCATGCTTAATTCAGGTATTCTGTGCATCAGGAATGCTAGAGTAATGCTGCTGGTAGAGTTGGGCATGAATCACATATTGATTATACATAACAATTTGAGATATTTAAATTCTGATTAATCTACTGACTCTACATGTTTTGGTCTAAGAGCAAGTATAAAAGAAACAAGTCCTGATGCATTTTTAATCTTTTTAATTCACATATAGTAGTTTGTTCACCGTGTTGCAAATCTAAAGTGTTGGGTGGGTTGAGATAATTTGCCACTTGTTTCTTCCCCTTGTCACTTTGTTAATCAAAATCGGTTTTCAACGCGAGAAGCAAACCAATTTTGAAAAGAGAGATAGGAACAAAGCAAGGCCCCAGGACTCGTCTGAGGGCTGAAGCTGAGTGGCTATGCCTGCACCTCAGATCGCTCTCGTAGACGCTGGTACCTTGTGAGGTGCAGTGACAGCCATGTCAGAAATTTTGTGACACGAGAGGACGCATCCCAAGGAACGTTGTTCCAACGCCAACTCATTTTTGCGCGAGTTGGAAAATGTAGCATTTTGCTGTTGTTAGGTGTTAGGCTTGGGAGGGGGGAGGAAAGGAAGGATGCATCAAAAGCCCCGTGAAGTCCTGTTTCAGCAGAGATGGGTGTTGCAGCCGAGAGGAGCCATCTCTGACTTGTCTCCCATGTGGGGGGATGGTGGGACCAAGGGGCTCTGCTTGGTCCGGTGGGTGGAAATGGCGGGTGGCAGACTGAGGGGGAAGAAGCTCACAAGTGGTCCTCTCCCGTGCCCTCGCAGAAGTGAGAACATGGTAACAGGGCTTGCAAAGCTAATGCTTTTTTCCTCAGTGGAAGCCCTTTTGCCCTGCTTAGTCCCTCGAGTTGAGCACTGGGGAGAAGTTTTGACTTTCAGGGGCGACTATGAGCCCTGAGTGAGGGTCTGTCCTTCAGCCATGAGGATGTTGGGCGCAGTCCCGCAAGCACGCGGTGGGCTAATTAAAGATAGACCCTGTACTTCTCAGCTTTATACCCAACTTTCTGTTTCTCAACATCAATGCTCTTCTAACACGTTCTTGAAATTGTACTTGTACTTGCATGAGAGGCTTTGTTAGCTGAACACCACTGAGCGAGAAAGAGGTGGAATCTTCACAGCACAGAGAGAGCTCGGGGTAGAAATCAAGGCAGAAGAGACAGTTCTGCGAAGCACTTTAAAGAAAAAGATATTTGTGCACTTTTTTCTGGGAGAGTCAAGCTTACCAAACCCATTCCTCTGCATTGGGAAGAAAATCGAGCTTTGTGTACCAGGCCAGAAGCAGATAATGCCACAATATGTGCTTTATGGCAAAATGTGTTTTTATTGCGGGTAACATTTACAGCTTACATGTAGCTGCTGCCTATAAAGTGACTCAATCGTTCTCTGGATTTTAACAAGTCACATTTTTGTGCAAAAATCTTAGTGGTTTTCTATCAGTCTTCATCGCCTTGTGTACAGTACAGTTAAGCATAATCCACAAAGTGGTCTAGGTTGTGGCAGTGTTACAAATGTCAGCACAGTAAAATCTAGGTGAACATTGTTAAAGAAATGTTGTTGTTTGTGATACTGGGGGTTAAAACTCCTTCAAGGCAACTATATATAGATTTTAAAAGTCTGAAAAAAATGGCAGTTCTTATCTATTTTGTGTATGTTTTCATATAGAGAAGGAGTTTTTTATGTGCCAATAACCATCACTGTAGTGTTTTGTAAG